TATAATCCCCAAGGACAAGGTATAGTAGAAAGAACTCATCTGTCATTAAAAACTATTATCACAAAATTAAAAGGGGGGAGCTGGTACCCCGTGAAGGGTACCCCCAGAAACATACTCAATCATGCCCTGTTTATCCTTAATTTTTTAAATTTGGACAGTCATGGAAAATCGGCTGCCGACCGTTTCTGGCATCCTGAATCTCAAAAACAGTTTGCAATGGTAAAATGGAAAGATCCACTTGATAGTTCATGGCATGGCCCCGATCCAGTTTTAATTTGGGGAAGAGGCTCAGTATGCATCTTCTCACAAAAAATGATGCAGCCAGATGGCTGCCTGAAAGATTGGTAAGACAAATAAATCATAACCATTGTCAGTCCAGGGAAGATAAATCTCCCTGAGAAGTTCTTTCCTTCTTGTTTTTCAGAAAATGAAGCCTAACATGAAATTCCTTTGGAGAATAATCGCTCTATATAACATAGTGACAGTCTATGCAGGTTTTGGTGACCCTCGTAAGGCAAGAGAATTATTACGAAAACAATATGGCCAGCCTTGTGACTGCAGAGGGGGACAAATATCTGAACCTCCGTCAGATAGAATCACCCAGGTGACCTGCACGGGCAAGACAGCTTACCTAATGCCAAACCAGTTATGGAAATGTAAGTCTACCCCAAGAGATACCTCACCTAACGGGTCGCTCCTAGAATGCCCTTGTAGTTCTTTCCAATCTTCTGTACATAGTTCCTGTTATACATCCTATCAACAATGCAAATCAGGCAATAGAACATATTATACGGCCACGTTACTAAAAACACAAACTGGAGGCATTAATGATGTACAAGTATTAGGATCCACTAATAAACTTGTACAATCTCCTTGTAACGGCCAAAAAGGAAAGCCTGTTTGTTGGAGCACTACCGCCCCCATTCACATTTCTGATGGAGGAGGCCCATTAGATATTACAAGAATTAAAACCGTCCAGAAAAAATTAGAAGAAATTCATAAAGCTTCTTATCCTGAACTTCAATATCACCCTTTAGCCCTGCCTGAGCTTAGAGATAATTTTAGGCTCGATGCCAAAACCTTTGATATCCTCAATGCTACTTACAATTTACTTCAAATGTCCAATACAAGCCTGGCCCACGATTGTTGGCTTTGTCTTAAAATGGGCCCCCCTATTCCTCTAGCCATACCTAACCTTTCATTGCCCTATGTCAATTACTCAAATGAATCCTTAGTAAATAATTCCTGTCCTATTACCCCCCCCCTTTGTTCAACCGATGACGTTTTCTAATTCCCCTTGCCTCTTTTCACCATCATATAATAACACTAAAGAAATTGATTTAGGCTATGTTGTGTTTGGCAACTGTACTTCCATAATCAATGCCACCAACCCTTTGTGTGCTATAAATGGCTCGGTTTTCGTTTGTGGAAACAACATGGCATATACGTATCTACCTACAAATTGGACAGGGCTTTGTGTTCTGGCCACTCTTCTCCCCGACATTGATATCATCCCTGGAGATGAACCTATCCCCATCCCCGCGATTGAACATTTTATTTATAGACCGAAACGAGCCATACAATTTATTCCCTTGTTGGCTGGACTAGGAATCACCACTGCTTTTACTACAGGAGCCACAGGCCTAGGAGTCTGACTAACCCAATATACCAAATTATCCAATCAATTAATCTCAGATGTACAGACCTTATCCAGTACTATACAAGATTTACAAGACCAAGTAGACTCGTTAGCTGAAGTAGTTCTCCAGAATAGAAGAGGTCTAGATTTGTTAACGGCAGAACAGGGAGGGATATGTTTGGCCTTACAGGAAAAGTGCTGTTTTTACGCCAACAAATCCGGAATCGTCAGAGATAAGATAAAAACTTTGCAAGAAGAACTAGAAAAGCGCAGAAAAGGCTTGGCCGCCAATCCACTATGGACTGGACTCGATGGACTTCTCCCCTATCTCCTGCCATTTCTTGGTCCTTTACTCACTCTTTTACTCTTCCTCACTCTCGGGCCTATAATCCTTAATAAGCTTATGGCATTTGTCAGACAACAAATTGAGGCCTTCCAGGCCAAACCTATACAGGTTCATTATCATCGCCTTGAGATGACTGAAAATGGTGAGTCTTATTTACCTTAATAAGACCACCTCCCCTGTGTGCTGAACTGGACAGTCAATGACGGGTAAGAGGACACTATCTCCATCGGAGCCTAAGACAGGAGGGCCGCCCTTGCTGCTGCCTTATCCCATGACGGGCCTAGAAGGTGGGGGTGAGTTGACCCAACCTAAGACAGGCGCAGTTCCCGAGGGGTTTTCTTATCATAAAAATATAAAAAGGGGGACCTGTCCGGAGCTGCACGCCCCGGCCATAGCGAATAATAATTGAGGATTAAACGCCTGAGCTATATTCATTTCCACCCCACACCTTCTCCCTATCTTTGCCTTTTTTCCCCTGTACTAATACCTCATTAAAGATGGCGCTCTTCCTGCTTCTTCTTCACTCACTTTTCCCGCGCCGGGGAAAACTGTTACTTAATAGCGCAAGCACAACATGACCTCCGACCCGAAACTAACCTGGCCACGCCCTCGGCGATGAGATCATTTCTGCCTTAGCCCAACCCCTTCCCTTCCAAGTGTATATAAGGCAGTGCATTACCGCCATTAAACGAGACTTGATCAGAGCACTGTCTTGTCTCCATTTCTTGTGTCTCTTGTTCCCCAAATTCCCACCCCCTCCTCCAGGGCCTGCTCTGACTATCCCGCGGGCCGGGATAATGTTACAGGTCATCAGTCATTTCCAGCCTTATGCACTAAGGACTTAACCTTTCTCTGATACTAAGTGCACATCAGACTTAGCTCAGCCACTGGGCTGCCCAAGGAGGAAGGAGAATACCCCCAACATAGGAGTCCCACAGGAGACTGACCCCAGTCTGCTATTTATTGTGTTTGGAGCCAGGGTTAGATTATGTGCAGCACACATTGTGTTTTGAAAGGCCCTGGGAAAAGTAACACATTGGACTATTATTGGCCATTAACACCATTAACACTGTGTAAATTTATTGTCAGAAATAAGCAAGCCTCCAGGAATTGAGCTCTGCTACAGGTGCCTGGGACAGAAAATGGACAGGACCTAGTGTTTGGATGATACGAAAGGGGAAAGAGGAGTGGGCACCAAAAGGTAACAGTGGGGTTCAGAAAGGGAAGGTGGAAAGGCTCACACTTCAAGATTTTTCCCCTAGAGCTAAGAAAATGCAGACTTTTGCCCCAGTTGGGAGGCAAGGGGGGTCAGCTGGGTTTTTGATTGACTGGTCAATATGTTTCTAGTCCCAGTTATGAGTTCCTATATCTCCCTTCCTCGGCCTCATAATGAGTATTTCTGGATATCACTTAGCCCCCAGAACCTTGTCCCTAGATTCCACCTCTTTAGAATCCATGCTTTTGGGTGCTGGGCTGTTTGTGTGTGTGTTGTGTGTGTGTGTGTGTGTGTGAGAGAGAGACACACACACACACAGGAAGAAGAAGAAGAAGAAGGAGGAGGAGGAGGAGGAGGGGGAGGAGGAGGAAAAGAAAAGTGAAGAGAAGAGAGAGAAAATATAATCCATGTCTCAGGAAGAGGAAGAAGGGAAGGAAGGAGGAAGAGAAGGAAGGTAGGCTTAGACCTGGGAAGCAGAATAGAATGACAGGGCCTCCCTCTGATTTCCCCAGACCCTGGCAGCAGCTCCTGTCCTCCAGCTTTTTCCTCTGCACATCAACTAGAGAATGAACATATGAGCCAATCAAGTCTTGACTTCCAAAGCCACAAGTCTCCCCCACAAAGCACCCCACCCCCTTCCCTAGAGATGACCTCCAGGGCAAGGTAACAGGGTTAGGAAACAGATGGATGTGCAGAGACCCTCCAGAGCTAACCTGACCCCTGACCCCCACCAGTTCATGTCCTCTAATCCGACTTTCCAAGAGGGAGAGCAGATGCATGGGGCCCCGGTAACTTACTGGACTCTTTGGGACAAAGATTCCAGACAAAATGGTTTCAGACATGTGGGGAGATAGGGAGCTACACATAGAAGCTGGTGGAAGCCACAGGTACAGGGAGATGGGGAATCCCTGGCCATCAGAGAAACAGGGTCACAGGTGGTGGAAAACGAGGATGGTCAGTGCCGGTTCCAGGGAGGGACCGTGTAGCCAGGGAGCAGGAGGAGCAATGGACCCGGGACATGGACGGTGGCAGGGGCGCAAAGATCTAGAAAGACATCTCAGGGCTCTACACCTCAGAGCAAGCAGAGACTTAGTGGGTGTGTATGAGAGGGACGCTAACTCACACTTCCAGGAATGAGTAATTCTTATGAATAGCTCCTCCGTTCCCAGAACTGAAGAGGAGGACAAGGGGGAGGTCCGAGGCGCCCACCGCCCTCCCAGCCGGGTCTGCCTCTCAAGTCAGAGGGGCCGGCTCCCCACACGCACCAGGTGAGACCGATGTCGTCCGCCCCGCTCCTGTCAGTCTGCAGCCGGCGCGGCGCCGGGTCCCCGCCGCCCCTCTGTGCACATCAGGGCCCCGGGCCCCCGACGGCGAGGAGGGGTGCCGGCCCAGGGCTGCCGCCGGGAGCCCCGCTGACAGGCACGGGGGAGGGGGAGCCAAGGAAGGGGCCGGGACGCCGGTAGCCGGAGCGGCGCGCTGCAGAGTGAGCCAACACCGCCCATCCCCGCGCTCCGGGAGAAGGCGGCCCGAGGGGACCGCCTCCCGCCTCCCCAACACGGACTCCCGCAACTGGGATGAAGGCGGAGGGGCGCGGAGTTCCCAGCCCCCACGCCCTCCCCAAACGCAGCCAGCACTGCCATAACAACCAGAATCTCCGCAACTCCCGCCCCGACGCCGAGGGGGCACTGGCCCCCAACACGCACGCGGCAGCAACAGCCCTCCTTCCCCAAACTTGTCCAAGACGCCGCGTCCGAGGCAGCAGCCTTCAGCCCCGGCCCCCCGCGCCCTGCCCAGCTTACCTGTCCGGAAAAAGGCGTCCACGTCCGAGTCGGCCGCTCCTCCTTCCTCCGCTGCTCCCTCATGGGGGGTTCATGACTGGGGAGGGCGTCTGCGGGCAGCCGGGGGCCGGAGAAGCCTGGGGCCGAGGGCTGCTAGGCGCCTGATGGGCGGAGGGCGCGGGCGGCCGCGGGGCTTCGAGGGCAGGCGCTGGGCGGCGGGGCTGGGGCAGAGGACGCCGAGCCTCCTTCAGGCGGAGGCGCGCAGCGGGCCTTCCGCCGGCTCCCCCATGGTACCGCTTCCCCATGGTACCGCTTCCCCAGGGCGCTGGCCGCCTGCTGTCTGCATGTGGCCCGGGCCCGGGGCTGGGGTGCGGGCTGCCTGAGCGCCCGCTCTCCCCCAGCAGCAGCAGCAGCTGGTTCTCCTGCCCGCCCGTCTGCCTGTTCAGCCCTGTTTCGCTCTCTCCTATTTATTTTTTCTCCTCCCTCCCACCCTCCCTGTCTCCCACCCTCCTCGCTCCCCACTCCGCTCGCTCGCTCCCCACTCTCTGGCTCCAGCCGCCGCCTCCCCAGCTCCTCCCCCGGCTCCCGCTCCCTCAGTCGCGGCCAACAATGACCCCGGGAGCGCCGAGCTGAACTGAAACTCCGGCCCAGGCCGAGGGCTCGCTGCGGGCCCCCGGCGGCGCCGACAGCCCCGGTCCCAGCGGCCCCGCGCGGGCCTCCCGGGGAGCGGAGCCCAAGTCCGGAGGCTGTGCGAGGCCGGCTTCCTGAGCTCCGCAGGAAAAGCCCGGGCCGAGGAGGGGGCGGGGCCGCCGCCTGGGGCTGCAGGGCGCACGCCAGGCTCTTCCGAGGGCTCTGCGGCCCCGGCGCTGCGCGCTCAGCTTCTCCGCTTGCGCCGCCGGGGCTCCTCCCGGCCCCGCGGCCCCCTCCTCCGCCCACTCCACTCCCAGGTGTGTGAGGGGAACACCAGGCTGCCGGCCCGCCTTCTCCGGATCTTCAGATCGGTCCCCAAGCTGGACTGACCTGTCCCTAGAGGCCGGCCTTTCTTCCCCTCCTTCCTGACTCCCTGCCCTCTTCTGTCTCCCTGCCCTCCTGAACCTCTCACATTTTCCTCACCAGCTCGCCACAATTTCTCTCCTTTTTATCTTTTCTCATCCTTTTCCCCTTTTCAGCACCCCTTTAAACATCTCCGCCTGGCAGGGCGCGGTGGCTCACGCCTGTAATCCCAGCACTTTGGGAGGCCGAGACGGGCGGATCACGAGGTCAGGAGATGGACACCATCCTAGCTAACACGGTGAAACCCCGTCTCTACTAAACATACAAAAAATTAGCCGGGCGTGGTGGCGGGCGCCTATAGTCCCAGCTACTCGGAAGGCTAAGGCAGGAGAATGGTGTAAACCCGGGAGGCGGAGCTTGTAGTGAGCCGAGATCGCGCCACTGCACTCCAGCCTGGGGACAGAGCGAGACAAAAATTCTCCGCCTGTCTCTGTGACTCTTTGTCCAGTTTAATGCTCCTGTGATGTCTCCCTGCCTATCTCTCCCTCCCTCCGTCACTCTCTTGTCCCTCGTTTGTCTCTGTCCTGCCTCCGTACTTGGCCCGTATCTCCGTGCTCCTCTTGGACAGCTGTCAAAACTCTCTAATCCCTGGGGCCTTCTCGGTCTTGTTCTTCTCCCTCATGTGAATGGAGAGATCCAGTTGGCCAGGAGAAAGGAGGTGTTACAGCAAGCTGAATTTCAATTAAAGTGGGGAGAGGGCCTGGGGAGGAGTGGGGATGACTGTAAAAAGAAAACAGATGCTGTATGGGGTAATTAATGCGGTGATTGTATTGTGCCCATCGGTTTTAAAGCAATAATTCAACAATAATTAGCCAGTAGTGTGTATATGGTTCTAGTGACTGCAGAGCCCACCAAACAGAGGGTCTTTAGACCTAAGTACTTAATAAGGTCAGTTGAGCCCTCTTCGCGGTTGCCTCATCCAGACAGATGGAGAAGTGGTGGCCTGACCTAATGTGTTAAAACACGCCTAATAGGAAAACCAGGTACTGGTCTGAAGTTGATGACCCAAAGCCCATCAGACAGCATCTCCTGGATCTGTTTGTCTCCAGTAACCTCTTTGGTTCCACCTCTCTCTTGGGGCCAAGGCAGATCCACCAACTGGGTAACCCTAGCAGCAAACAAAATGAATTAAATTAGTTTTTAGTGAACACTTTCTGGCTCCCGGTACTCATCACGTTCTTCACTGACACAAATAGTCTAATTTTTTTTTTCACCCATTTAAAAAAAGTACCTGTTTCCAACCTTGGATACACCTATCAGATCTGTCTCCAACCTTGAGTACATCTATCAGACTTCTGTAGTGACTCTGACATCACAAGTTCACTGCCCTGAGATCTAATTCATCTGGCCCTAGTATCTTGAACTGGCTTAAGATGCCCCTTTGCCTATGCCTTTTCTGACAATGAAAATGCTTCTCATTTGTCTTTTCAAAATCTTCCTTCCCCTTAACCCTGTTCCTAACCCCTGGTCTGCTCCCCTACCCCCCCACACACATACATGATGGCAGAGCTGCTATTAATTGCCACCATTGTGCAGTTAAAGAAGCAGTGGCCTGGTAAGGCATTAGCTCATCCCAACTCAGAAGAAACATTACATGTTTAGAGGAAGGTTCATATCAAAATCTCAAGATACAGGTGAGAATGGGGGAACAACTGATGTAGTGACACAGACTTTTTTGAGAGGAAATTTGGCAATTTCTATCAAAATGTTAAATGTTCATGGCTATATTAATATCAAAGAAGATTTCAGAGCAAAGAATATTACCAGGGATAAAGAGGGATATTTCAATTCAAGTAGACGTAACAATCCTAAAAGTGTTTGCACCTAATAAGAGAGCTTCAAAGTACGTGAAGCAAAACTGATAGGATTGCACGGAGAAATAGAAAAATGTATAATTATATTCAGACAATTTAATATCTGTAAAATGCAGTAATTAATAGAATAAGGAGACAGATCATCAGTAAAGATATGGAAGACTTGAACAATGCTATTAACCAACCTAAGCTAACTGACATTTATAGAATATTCTACTTTATAACAGCAGATACACATTTTTTCAAATGCACAGGTAGCATTTATCAAAGTAAACCATATGCTAAACCATAAGACAAATCTCAATACGTTTAAAAGGATTAAAATCATGCAAGGTAGTATATCAATTATACCTCAGTTTTTTTTTTTTTAAGTCATACAGAGTATGTTCTCTGACCACAATAGAATTAAACTAGAAATAAAAAACAAAAAGATCTAGAAAAAACTCCCAAATATTTGGGAAGTAAATAACACACTTCTAAATAACACATGAGCTACTAAGAATTCAAAGGAGGGGCTGGGCATCGTGGCTCACACATTTAATTCCAACACTTTGGGAGGCTGAGGCCAGTGGATCATTTGAGGCCAGAAGTTCGAGACCAGATTGACTAACATGGCAAAATCCATCTCTACTAAAAATACAAAAATTAGCTGGACATGGTAGCACACGCCTGTAATCCCAGTTACTCTGGTGGCTGAGGCACAAGAATAGCTTGAACCCAGGAAGCAGAGGATGCCGTGAGCCTAGATTGTACCACTGCACTCCAGCCTGGATGACACAGTGAGACTTTGTCCCCTGCCGGCCCCCCAAAAAAAAGAATTCAAAGGGGGATATTAGAAAGACTCTCAAAGTAAATAAAAATGAAAACACATTTTATAAAAACCTGTGGGATGCAGCTAATGCAGCCTAAATCTGTGGGATGCAGCTAAAGCAGAAAGATATTTATAATGCTAAATACCTATTTTGAAAATAAAGATCTCCCATCAATAAGCTCCTATTCTACTTTAAGAGCAAATGAAATCAAAGTCGAAGAACAGAAATAAAAAAGATCAGAGCAGAAGGCAATAAAATAGCAGGAAAACAAAAAAAATCAATGAAACTAAAGTGGGTTATTTGAGAAGATCAATAAAATAAAAAAACTTCCACCCAGACTGATCAGAAAATAAGAGAAAAATCTCAAATTACTATCAGCAGGAATGAGAGAGACGGCATCACTACAGATTCCAAAATGTAAAAATAATAATAAGAGGATATTATAAACAACTTTATGCCAACAAATTTGACAACTTTCATAAAATGATCACATTTCTTGAAAGACACAAACTACTAAAGTTCACTCAAGGAGAAATCACTAACTTAAATAGCTATTTATCTACTAAAGAAATTAAATCTGTAGCTTAAAAGCTTCCCCCACACACACCCACACACAAAACAACTCAAGATTCATATGTTTTTTTTTTTGTAAATCTGTGAAACATTTAAGGAAGAAATAATATCAATTCCATAAAAACTCTTCCAGAAAACTGAAGAGGAGGGAATATTTCCCAACAACTTCCATGAAGCCAGCATTATTCTGATGCCAAAACTAAACAAAGACCATATAAGAAAAAACATTGTAGACTACTATTTCTTAGGAATGTAACGTAAAATTCTCAATTAAATTTTAGCAAATAAAATCCACAATATATAAAAAGGATAATACATCATGACCAAGTGGGTTTATCCCACTTGGGTTGAATTGCATTCCCGAAAAGGTATGTTAAAGTCCTAACCCCTGGTAGCTGTGAAAGTGGCCTTATTTGGAAATAAGGTGTTTGCAGATATAATCAAGTTTGGATGAGATCACTAGGATGGACCCTAATCCAATATGACTGGTGTCCCGATAAGAAGAAAAAAAAACTGCATATGAAGACAGAGACACATAGGGAAAAATGTAATGGCAGAGGAAAAATGTAATGGAGTGACGCAGCAGCAAAGAATACCAAGAACTGACAGCCACCACCAGAAGCTAGGAAGAGGCAAAGAAAGATTCTACCTGGAGTCTCAGAGGGAGCACGGCCATTCTTACACTTGATTTCAGACTTCTTCTCTCCAGAACTGTGACAGAATAAACTTCTATTATTTTAAGCTACCCGGTTTGCACTACTTCGTTACAGCAGCCATAGGAAACCAATATACCATATTGAAAAAGCAATACCAGTCAGAGCATGGTGACTTACATCTGTAATCCCAGCATTTTGGGAGATCGAGGTGGGCAGATCACTTGATCCCAGAATATCGAGATCAGCCTGGGCAATATGACATAACACATCTCTACAAAAAATACAAAAAGTAGCTCGCATGGTGGCACGAGAGTCAGATCCTGTCTCAAAAAAAAATTAAATTAAAATTTAGAAAAGCAATACCACATGATCATCTAAGCAGGTGCAGGAAAATAATTTGTCAAAATCCAATATGCATTTCTGACCAAAACTCTCAGCAAACTAGGAATAGAAGGGGCTCTCTTAATAAAGGGCATCTACCAAAAATCTGTAGTAAACAGCAAGCTTTTCCCTAAGATCAGAAGACGGCAAGATGTCTACTCCTACCCCTATTCAATGGACTGGATGTACAGTGCAATAAGAAAAGGAAATTAAAGGCACCCAGATTGAAGAGGAAAAGGTAAAACTGTATTAAAGATGATATGATTGCTACTTAGAAAATTCCATGAAATATATTTTTTAAAACTAGTAGATCTAATAATGAGTTTAGCAAGATTTCAGGATATAAGATCAATATAAAAATTAAATTGTATTTCTATAACCTAGCGATGAAGATTTAGAACTTGAAATTTTAAAACATCACTATATTAGCATGGAAATATGAATTTGAAGGCTTAGTCTAATTTTTAAAATATGTAAGACCCATACACTCAAAGATAAAATACATTGCTGAAGGAAATTAAAGGAGATCTAAGCAAATGGAGAGAAATACAGTTTCATGGAATTTTGCGAAGACTCAAAATACTTAGGAAATTAATTTTTCCCAAACTGATTTGTAGATTCAATGAAATCCCAATAGGCTTTTTTTTTTTTGTAGAAATTTACAAGTTGATTTGATGAACAGAACGTATAAAAGCCAAAACAACTAAAAAGAAGAGAGTTGGAGGACTTACACTACCCAATTTCAAGGCACTTATGAGGCCATAGTAATCCAGACAATGTGGTATTGTTGTAAAGATAGACAAATAGATTGATGGAATAGAATGGGGTCCAGAAACAGACCCATACGTATATCATCGATTGCT